GTTGTACAGAAACCATCTTCTCAAGCACTTTGCTCAAGATGGGGCATGGTCATTGAGAGGTAATAAAGCTCTGAAGCCAGGGAAAGTTCTTTAGAAGTGGGTAGACTATTGCTTCTTTAAGGCCAGCAGCAATATTCCACCATGCAAAAAGCTACTGACTACCCACCCCCCAAGTGACTAAGTCAATTTCTTTTGCCTAGCTCATATAAGACAGGATTTGCAGATGTTAAGACAGCACATGGTGGACCTTACAGCTATTATGCATCTTGTTCATGTCTTCAGGATTCAAAAATTTGAAAACTACTCCATACAATTAGATCAAATGGTACACTGGAGTCCTCAATATGTATCACATCAAAATGCTGCTTCTAATATAAACTATGGTGAACTTGTACTGCATTTCTGTATGATTTATACTTCTACATTTGCATTGGTGCATATAGATGAATATATGCAAAGTTAATGCAAATCAGCATCCTCTGTTGTCGTTCTTTAGTGATGGATTTCCTCCTTTTGGGGGATGGATAAACAGAACTGATGAAGATGGAAGATAATGCAGGAGGTGAATTTCATCTAAATATTCACCACAAAATAAACCCTGATGAGTTCAATAAAATTGAGGGTAGACTTCTCATTTTAGCAAAATGAAATGTTAAATGCCTGCTATGATAGAACAGACTATACCATTTCTGATCACAGACAATGGGAAAGTTATAGTTTATATACACCACTCTGTATAATAAGGCAGGGGTTGGACTAGCCCACTCAGCCTAGAGAGATTTGGGGGCTTTTCCCCACTTCTGAGTTTACCTCCTGCCCTTGAATTGGTAGAAAACTATGCAGGTATAATACAGTATTTGCTGTCTGTATCTCCAATTCCTACTTTTGATCTACTGTATTGCCTCTGTTTTGACTTGCTATTGAATGGCGTTATCGTCTTTGGTATGTGCAAAAGTCATGGAGAAAATCCATCTATGTGGTCACTAGGCGTTGACAATGACTTGATGGCACTTAATCAACCAATCAATCAATCAACGGGCAAAAGCATTCTACGTTGCCTTTGCTCCCCTCCTGCTTTGTGGATGCCACCAGCCACAGCCAACCATTTACAAATCAGAACAATGAGAGGGGGACAGGGCGGGAACAGCTTGGGCAAGCGGTGAGTTTTGACAGATGGCCACACTGCCTGTCCAACTGAGCCATCCAACAGGAGAGCAAATGTATCAGACTGGGAGGATTGCAGGTAAAGAGAGAGTTAAAGTCCCCTAAATCCTGACAGCCTCTCCAAATAGCTGATCATTGGGCTGAGGGAGTTGCACGATAAAGTGGGACCTGGCAGCATGGCCTCTCTCACCTAACCACGCAGCTCAAGCCAGTTTGGTCTGATATCAGGTTCAGAGCGCTTTCAAATATCTAGTTTCTCTTAGGCATAGAAGCAACCTCCAGCTGTCCCCAGCTCTTTCTACTAAGGGGGGGGGGAATAGCTTTTCCCACCCTCTGCAAATCATCAGATTGCAACGACAGACCAGGGAAATGCATCAGCTTTTCCACATCCTGAAATGGTTTAAGGGAGAAATATGACTGATGCCTTCAAGCCAGCGTTGACTCCTGGCGACTGCCTGGACACGTGTGCCTTAACCACTACACCGATCTGGCTCTCTAAGGGAGAAAAAATGACTTTAAAACCAAAACAGTTGAAAACTATTTAAGCCTGGCACGCTAGTGGGCTGAGGATGAGATACGGCAACACTGTGGGGACACAGCAGAAGAAAAATACCACCATGGTATATTTGGGCTGGATTTATGCACAAGTGATATTTCAGCTCTGAATTTAAGTCTCCCTCTCTGGATCACCTTTGTCCAGCCTCCACCTCACAATGTGATGCAAACATTGGGTGTGGGTGAAAAGAGAGAATTTTTGTGAGAGTAGGGAAGCGTGCAAAGAAGAATGATCACTGCTACTACTCTGAGCTGTATGGAGGAAGGCTGAGAAATAAATCTATCCTATTTTAAACATTGCAAGGAGAAATTGCACATAAGGAAAAGAGTGGGCCTGGACATTTTCAGGAAGAAATTGGAGCTTTCTTCTCAAGGGAAGACTTTACAAGACTAAACGTCTTCTTCCTTTGATTTTAAAGGAATTTTAATCATATATTTATTGATTGTTTTAACATGTTGTGAGCCGCCCAGAGTCCCCATTGGGGGGAGACGGGCGGGGGACAAATTTAATAAATAAATAAATAAATAAATTTTGAAGAACTCAGAGCAATATTTGTGAACATATTGTGACACCCAACCATTACTACTTAACATTCTGAACCAGTGAGGCACTGTGATTTGATGGCTGGTGTGGGTCTTGCGGGCAGTGTGGCCGA